CATGGGATGTTTAGTGCTCTTCTCCAGCATCACACTTCATTTTCTGCCATCCTTATTTATTGTCTAGTTCTTGGATGCATAACCAGTAATCAAAAAGACTATGGCTTGAATCAGACACACCTTAGTCTTCAGACTGACATCACTACTCATCAATGATTTGGAAAAGTCCCTAACTGCAGATTTTCTAAGTGCAGTGAAACTCCTTATTTTGTGAATGCTGGTACCAAAATTGTTAATCCAAACAAGATGAAGCTATTGACAGTCCCACTCTCCTCTCCATCCATGATGATGCTGCCTATAGGTCCAGTGGTATAAGTTATCATTTTCCTGAAATTGAGATGCAATCCATACTGAAGCCTGCATTCTCTGATTTTCTGAAACAAGGGTTTCAAGTCTTCCTCACTTTCAGCAAGCAAGGTTGTGTCTCTGCGGAGCGCAGGTTATTGATAAACCTACCTCCAATCCTGATGCCACACTCCTCCTCATAGAGTCCAGTGTTTTAGATAATTTGCTCAGCATACAGATTGAATAGGTATGGAGAGAGAATACAACCCTGACACACTCCCTTCCCAATTCCAAACCATGCAATGCTCTCCTGCTCCGTTCACACAACAGCCTCCTGATCCAAGTGTATGTTATGCAGAAGCACAATCAAGTGCTCTGGGATTTCCATTCTTCTCAACGTCAGCCATAACTTGCTATGATCCACACAGTCAAAAGCCTTTTCATAGTCAATAAAGCATAGATATCCTTCTAGTATTCCTTACTTTTAGCCAGGATCCGTCTGACATCAGCAATGATATCCCTAGTGCCACGGCCTCTTTTAAATCCTGCTTGAACTTCTGGCAATTCCCTATCAATGTGCTGTTTTAGCCACTTTTGAATGATCTTCAGCATTATTTTGCTTGCATCTGATGTCAATGATAACTGTTTGATTATTTCCACTTTCAGAAATAGGTGTCATACAGGTGCATCCAGGCATCTAAGAGACAACATTTGTCAGTTAAAAGAAAAAAAATTATTTGTTAATTTTTAGATAATTGATTTTGAGGTAGTGTTGAGGCATCCAAGTGTTTGACAATAGAACTCCAAGGTTAAAAACAAGGGGTTTGTGTTGAGGATATGAATTCTTCACATTGAGCATTCTTATACTCTCTAAAACACTAGCTCATCTAACCTTCTCATAGATGCCTCTCTCTCTTCCATCAGGATTCATTAATTTCATTCCACTATTCCCATTCCCAAGAAAGGTGATCCAACAGATTGTGGAAGCTATCAAACAATATAGTTAATATCACATGCAAGCAAAATACTGCTGGAGATCATTCAAAAATGACTGTAACAGTTCATACATAGGGAACTGATAGAAGTTTAAGCAGAATTTAGAAGAGACTGTATCACCAAGGATATCATTGCTGATGTCAGATGAATCCTGGCTGAAAGTAAGGAGTACCAGAAGGATATCTATGCTTTATTGACTATGAAAAGGCATTTGACTGTGTGGATCATGACAAGCTGTGGCTGACATTGAGAAGAATGAGAATCCCAGAGCACTTGATTGTGCTTCTGCATAACCTACACTTGGATCAGGAGGCTGTTGTGTGAACGGAGCAGGAGAGCACTGCGTGGTTTGGAATTGGGAAGGGAGTGTGTCAGGGTTGTATTCTCTCTCCATACCTATTCAATCTGTATGCTGAGCAAATTATCTAAAACACTGGACTCTATGAGGAGGAGTGTGGCATCAGGATTGGAGGTAGGTTTATCAATAACTTGCATTATGCAGATGACACAACCTTGCTTGCTGAAAGTGAGGAAGACTTGAAGCTCTTGTTGCAGAAGATCAAGGAATGTAACCTTCAGTACGGATTGCATCTCAATATCAATCAAAAGAAAATTTTTACCACTGGACCAATAGGCAGCATCGTGATGGATGGAGAGGAGATTGAAACTGTCAACAGTTTCATCTGGCTTGGATCCATAATTATTACCCTTGGTATCAGGAGTTAGGGACCTCTCCAAATTATTGAGGAGTAATGCTGTAGGTTTGAGGACTAGGATCTGTCTGATTCATGTCATGGTCTTTCTTATTATTTGCTATGTATCTGAGAGTTAAACAATGAATAAGGATGACAGAAAAAAAAATTATGCCTTTGCTGCTGTGGTGTTGAAGATTAACACTGACCATCCCATGGACAGCCAAGAGAACAAACAGTTATGTCTTGGAGAGGGTGCAGCTGGAGTGCTCTCTGGAGGCAAGGATCATGAGGCTTTGCCTCACTTACTTTGGGCATATTGTTAAGATGTGCTGTTCCTTGGAGAGGCACATGATGTTGAGAAGGGTGGAGTGTCGGTAAAGGAGAAGACCCTCAATGAGGTAGATTAACATGGTGATGGATGCAATGGGCTCTTGTGTGTCAGAAAGTCTGAGGATAACACAGGATAGAACAGGGTTCAGATCCTTTGCTCATATGTTCTCTATGAATCAGACTCGATTCAGTGACACCTAATAACAACAACATGGTTCCACAGAAATTTGATCATCCTATTAATTTATTCAACTAATAAAAAGAATAATTGAACTAATAATAATTAGTTTAATAAACTATTAGTTTATTAGAACAGGGTTTAGATCTTTTGTTCATAATGTTTCTATGAGTTGTACTTGACTTGATGGCACCTAACAACAAAACATAATGTTTCATATAGGAAGTGAATAGATAGGTTTATAATTACCATGATGGTATTTTTTTAATCTACCCAAATTTTTAAAACATTCTCCAGTGTTAAGTCTTATTGAGTAGTAAATAAGGCAATCCTTTTTTGCCTTCATCAATGCCTGCCAAAACACACATGTCCAATTCTTATTTTGTGCCATTTACTTTTGTTTGTCATAATTAAATCTTGCTTGTTTTATAATAATATTTAGTGTGTGGTTTGTATGTATAGCATATATGGGTTATAATCTTTCCTATTACAAATACCAGAATATCAGACAAAAAAGCATAAAAATTGTTTAATTATCCTGTAGGGAACTCTGGTGGCCTAGAGGAAAAAAGCTGTGCTGCAATCCCAAAGACATGTGGTTCAAATCCACCAGCTACTCTAGGGCAGAAGGATGGGCAGTCTCCTCCCATGCAGTTTTGTGCCTGTGAAAACCCACTAGGGGTCAGCCATGGGTTCCAACTAGCTGGCACACACCATCACCACAGTTATCTTGTATAAAGAGAAAATTAGAGGTAGGCAGTTAATAATTTATCAGGTGACCCAATGATGTCATCAAACTTGTAGACTTTTAATCTTTCTGCTAGGACATCCTTAACGTATCATATTAACCTCATTGAGAAATAACAGCCAACATTCCAGCCATCACATTTCTTACACTGTCTTTTGTTCTAAGTAGAAAGAGGATGTGGTAAAAAAATTTTTATTTCTTTGGCATTTGTTGTTACTTTTTTCCTTGTTTGGTTCTCTGCCTTACCAGGAAGCAGTATCTTTCTTGACAATTCTCCAGGAGATGTTGCCTTCTGATCAGTTTTCCAGAGCTAGGTCACAAGCCCATCACCATATAAGCCAATGGCAAAGGGAACTAGAATGTACTGTTCTGGCTTAGACCGGTCTAATTTATTCCTTATAGCTAGCAATAGTATATAACTATGTCTACGTGAAACATAATTTTTAGGAGTTCTCTTAACACAAACTTGTTTCAAAGCAAAACTACTAAAAAATTTGCAGCCCATATTTTATTTAAACTATCACAAATAAAAAATGCAGAGATCCAAAATAATGAATCCTTCCATATGAATATATGTTTAAATGAATGAATGTTATGCCTACAAAAAGGTATTTTACTAAATATAGGAAAACATTTTAATGATATTAAAACTTTTCCCTGTAGACTTCAAAACATATTGTGTTAAATATATTATTTGTTGCCCACTATATATTTTTTAGGCAGAATAGGCTATGAATAAATTTCTATTTTAAAACATTCTGAGTAGCGACAATGATTTATAATTAAAAATTTTCAAATTCTCTCACATATCTCACGAAAATAAAAAAAATAGCAAAAGTATATTGGTAAACTGGGAGAAGATATTCTAATGTTTGTTGTTTACAGTATAGTATTAGAGTTCATGGATGAATGTGAACAGTTAACACTTGCAGCTGCTAATCAACAGGTTGTTGTGTACTGCCGAGTTGGAACCGACCCATAGCTGATGGATTTTCAGAGGCAGTTAATCACATGGGAGGAGATTGCCCATCCTTCTCCCGCGGAGCACCTGATGGCCATGTGCCTTTGGGATTTCAGCACAGCTTCTTGCTCCTAGGCAGGAGTGACATCCACCTCCTAAACAACATGCCTCTGGAAACTATGTACTTTGATAAATGTCATATTTGTAGAGACGCTTCAGGCCTTTTGTTGATAGAGTCACTATGAGTCATGCTTAACTCGAAGGCAGTCACCACCAACAAAAACAATCAACAGGTTAGAGTTTCAAGACCACATAGAGGCATTTAAAAAAAAAAAAAGACTTGCCAATCAGTTTCTGAAAATTTAGCTATTGAAAACTTTACAAGGCACAGTTGTCTGACATGTATTGATTGGGTCACCCTAATTTGGAATTGACTGAATGGCAATTGGTTGTAATATTAACTGAAGAGAAAATACAGAGGAGCACAGTATGTTGTTGTTATGAGCCTTTGAGTCAGAGCTGACTCATAGCTCACATTCCAGTGGCTTTTCACGGAAGGAGATTACCCATCTTTCTCCCACAGAGCAGCTGATAAATTACAACTCCTTGCCTTTGGGTTGGCAGCGCCATTCTTTACCCATTAGGCAACCAGAGCTTCTTTTATGGAACTATTTTTTTTATAAAGTTGGCATAATTTGTCATCAGTGCATTAATAATGTATTATTAATGAACCTATGCTGAAAACAAGAAGTAGTACAACTATGAGGTGCCCAAAACACTAACGCAAACGTATATTAATGTTTTCAGATTGTTCGGCATGACAGAACCATGGAACAAATAGTTTTTCCTGTCCCCAATATATGTGAGTACCTAACTCGGGAGTCCAAGGGCCGTGTGTTTAATACGACGGAGAGGGACGAGCAAGGAAGTAAGGTGAATGACTTTTTCCAGCAAACAGAAGATCTCTACAATGAAATGAAGTGGCAGAAGAAAATCAGGAGTAAGTACTGTAGCTGACAATAAATGAGAATGGTACGCTTGGTGCAGAATATGAGATAAATTGGTACTTTGGGACACATGACAGCCATTGACAATTCACTTAAACTGTCTTTGAAATTTCTTGCCAGTCCGTTGGTACAGAAGTCACTGGAGCCGACCCAAGAGTGTAAGCTCAGTCTACAACTTGAGCCAAGACACCTGCAACTTAATGAAAACAGAAACCACAAACTAATTAGATCATCTTGTAGTGATGTTACTGGTGCTGCAAATATTAGGAAACGTGGGGTTGCAGCTGTATATTTCAACTGTTGAAGGAAAAGATGAGCAGCTGTGGGTTTGAAGCCTGTGAATAGACCCTGAATGACGTTAACAGTCGGTGAATAGGCTGGAGCAACATCTCACCCAGCACGCTCTTCCTTCATTGTCCTCTGATTGAGCAGATTGTTTGACATGCTTCTGCTTCCCTCTGCCTTTTAACACAGCTTTAGCTCCTTAGATCAAACAAATTAAAAATTTTGGGACACTTATATTCCCATAGAGCAATATCACAATTTTACAGTTAGAAATTAACTTATGCAACTGCTAGTATTTTAATCTCTGGAAAAACAAATTTCAGGGAGATTTTTTTCTCAAATAAAAAGAGTATTATAAAAAGATTCTTTTCATCTTATTTTCTCAGATAAGGCATATCATGGTTTTTCAGCAGCAACAACAGAAATAATAAGTCTTTCTGTCTTTTGGAAAGTTTTCCACACAAGCTGCATTTTTCTCAGTTTGACAGTATTTCATCTTTCTGATTTTCCAGAAATATTAGTGGCTAAGGTTTGTTTATTTGAGCTTGGGAGTGTGAGAACTCTTTGGACCTAAGATTGAACTGTACATTTATGGATGTTCTTATCACAATGTTTAAAAAAATTTTATAATTTTCATTTTACTGTGAGGAATCTTAATGGAATTAAGTGAAAATTCTAAGTATTCATAAGTCATATGAAGACGCAGTAATTTTGATTTGGAACATCTGAAAAATATCTATTTCCTCTGTGATGAATAAGTAAACTGAATAATGAATTTATGCTTGTGGGCATAAT